GGCGGTCACCCGCCGGCTCCGGAGACAGCTGGCCCGCGCCGCCCCACGCCGGGACGCTCCCTGCTCCGCCCGAGCGCGCACACCCCAGCAACCTGCTGGCCCAGAAGCCTGCCCCAGCGCGACCCCCCACACCTCAGCCCACCGTGTGACCCTCAGAGGGACCGCTCCCACACCCGCACCCAAGGCGACCTCTGAACAAAATCCCAACCCTCAAAGTGACGCCTGGCGGTCGGTGAGGCCGCACTGGACAGGCCCCTCGCCCTCCAGCCTCTCCCTCTGCCAGGCAGGGCCACCCCAGCCGGCTGGGACAGCGCTGTGTGTGCAGGGCCTGTGTCCACAGCCCCTGCCGCCACTGCAGCACCCAAAGCCTTGATTTTCAGGCCAACCAGGTGGTTGGGGTTAAGGCAGCTGGACCCTACGTGGCCACCTGTGCAGGTGAGCCCCAGACCCAGTGGCTCAGAAAACATGCCGGGCGCCTGTCCATACATGCATGAAATCCGGGAGAATGAGGACGGGATTGCGGTGTGGCCGTCCCCCTGGGCGCTAATTTCTCTCTCTGGTGAATGCATGCACCTTACAGCAAATCTTTAAAAAAAAAATTATTTTATTTAACTTCATTATTTTAATTTTGACCAAAGAGAGGAAGTAAGCTGCCCGGCCCAGAGTTCAAACCACAGTCAGCCATGTGAGTCCAGCGCCCTGAACTGCTGTGCTACCTGCCAGCCTGGTGAAAGTGTTCAAAAAGAGTTCATTTTAGGGGGCCAGCGGTTGGCGTAGTGGCTATGTTACAGGACTCCCATGTAGGCCACCGCGGCTCGAGCCCTGGACCTGTCCGGTGGCTTAAACTCACACCAGGCGCATGTGCGTGCCTGCGGAGGAGAAGGGATTGCGGTGTGGCCATCCCCCCGGGGGTGATTTCTCGCTTTCTGTCTCTCTGTCTTGCGCACGCGCCTATAAACTTCTCCAAAAAAAAAAAAAAATTTCATTTTAGCTGAAGTTTCTCTGCCGAGACGGTGTGAGCGTGAGCCAGAGCGGGGCACACCTCCCTGGGGCTGACCGCACTGTGACCCCTCCCTCCAGCCCTTTGGGTCCTGGGCTCTGGCCAGCATGCTGATGTGTTTCAGGCTGACTGGCGTGGGATTCGAACCATGCTTGCCATGCACGGTCTGCTTCTCTGGACTAGCACATCCATTGCTGCTGGAGAGACACTGAGGTGAGAGGGTGAGCCTAAGGGACCTCAGGAAAGGGGCCAGCTGGTGGCAGGTGGTAAAGCAGCTGTACCCCACGGAGCGATTCCAGTCCTGGACCCGGGGGCGGGGGCAGGCGGCATAGCGGCTGAGGTGCTGGGCTCCCGCGTGCCTCCATGGTTTGAGTCCCGGCCCAGTGGCTCGACACTCACACTGGCCTGTGTATGTGCCCACACCCCCACAGGAGAGTCACGCTCCTGCCCTAGAACAAATATAAGAGGGTGAGGGCCAGCAGATGGTGTGGAGGTTGAGGTGCTGGACTCCCACAAGGCCAATTGCGGTTTGAATCCAGGACCTGGTGGCTTCTAATCGAAGCTGGGGGTGTGTCCCAAATCCCAGAAGGAGGAGGGAGGGGAGTGACTGCCGAATGGCCTACCCCAGAGAGCGGGTCCTCACCTTCCCTCTGGTCTTGTGCCCTATGCCAACACCTTGAGAAGAGGGGGAGGAAGACGAGAGCCCAGGCTGCCGGGTGGACCCCAGCTGCGCTCCCAAGACCCCAGGGTGCTGGCTCCACACCTGCTTCTCAGGTGGAGCGGTGCCAGCCCTCAACAGCTGGCTTCTGCCAGGCACATTGGCCCTGCAGCCCCCAGGTGAGGAGGGGTCTCGGGGCCTCCTGTAGGCCCTACATCCCTGCAGCCACCCGGCGAGGTGGGACGCTCCCCCTGCACTTGTCCCACTGGTGTTGCGATGGGGATGGGGACAGGGCCCCAGACAGCAGCTCTGTGCCTCCTCTGGCTCACAGGGACCCTGCGTGTGGGTCACCTCTGAATGTGGGGCCACGCCCAGCGAGCGCACAGGCCAAGGTGGGGTGGGCATCCAGTGGGGTGGGGAAATGTGGCCCAGCCCCACGTGAGGCTGCATTGGTGGCACTGGGGACCTGGCATCTGGAGCCCTGCAGCCCCCCCGAGACACACCTGAGCCAGCTTCCCGGCTTTCCGGTGTGTTTCGGCCCTCGTGTGTGTGGCGTGCGCCTGCGCTCTGGGTCCCTGCGCCTCTGCCTCTGCTCCTGCTGCACAAGGGCCCCTGTCCAGCCTGCCTGCCAGCTTGTGTGAGCAAGCAGGGCGTGACACAGGCCGGCACAGCCCTGACCCACAGCTAGCTGCATGTCATATGCACAGCCTGCAGCCACCCTGCACAGGCGGCGGGGCTGCTGCCTACACGCGTGTGCCCGGCGGGGACGTGTGGGCCGCTGGGTATGCATTTGTGTGTGCCCGGCGGGGACGTGTGGGCCACCGTGTATGCATTTGTGTGTGCCCAGCGGGGACGTGTGGGCCGCCGGGTATGCACACGTGTGCCCGGCGGGGACGCTGCAGGCAGACGTGGGTGTGCATATGTGTGGGTTCCTCACAAAACCTGTGTGCTGGGGGCGTCCTTGTGTGGCCCGGCCTGGCCTTTGACCCACTGGGATAGCCTGGCTGGGTCAGGACAGATGGGGCCAGACAGCCTCCACGTTCTTGGGCTGTGACTCAGGCCTGTGGGGAGGGGTGAGTCACGGGACCGTGGGCTGCCCAGCCCAGTGCCCCCCAGCATGGACAGAGCCCCCTCCTGGGGACGGGGACGTCCAGCCTGCGTGCCGCCCTGCGCTGGAGCTCAGGCACCCACGGCCTGGGGAGGCCCGCCCCCGCGCAGGCCAGCAGCAGAACCCAGAGGACCCTACTCCTTCCTCCCGGCCTCAGCCTCCTGCAGCCTGGTTCCCCAGGAGGGAGGCCTGAATGCTGGGGACCCGAGTCACGCCAGCAGGCATTGGCGCCCATGCTTTGTGGTGCCGGCCCACCCGAGTCACGCACACTCAGCGCCGGCCCAGCTGCTCCCACGTCGACACCCGGGTGGGCTGGCGCCTTGCAAACGCACTGGGCATCCTCGCACACCGCACGCCCTGGTTCCGGCAGGCCCTCTCCCGTGCGCACAGCAACCCCCTTCTCCCTGTGGTCCCCACCGGACCTCTGCCCCGCACATACGCGCCCCACACCTGGCAACGCGCGCTCAGTCTCGCACCCCCATCCTGGAGCCGCCCCCGGCGCTCGGGCCAGCTGGGCCGGCGGC